AAAGACAAACTCGTTACCCTAGGAGAATATCACTGTGCACTGGATATAACAGGCCATGACCATGCCCGGATTTAATCTTTTCTCAGGGTAGTGCTTTGCTTTGACTCATATTTATCGTTCCGTATACAGTGAATTTTTTTCTGCACTGTATGTAATATGAAACAGCTTTTGCTGTTTCACTGTCTCTCGGCCTCCTGTGAAAGCAATAGCGCTTGCAAATAGCACTGAGGAGAGCTGGGTGTTTTCAAGCCTCTTGTTGCAGCGCAGCATAATGACAGTGCAGAAGTGTTTTCCACTGCAGTGCTGACTTGTATGAGGAATGCTGGAGGGGCCCTAAGAGGTCCCCTGGGCTGCGTTTTGATTAACCACTTCACTGCTACTTGAATTCTTCTAACATTGCACTGATTTCAGCAGCGCTAATGCAACTGCAAAGTTCATTTTCTCTAAATCATTTTAATGCTTTGCTAATTAAGTTTCTAAAACATTAGTAGAAAGTATTTTGTCCTCTGCATTTAAAAATCTTTTAACCTTCAGCTCATTTCTTTAAATATATTGTTAGTGCTTTCAGCTCACGCTACAAATTCGCTCTTTAAAGAAATTACCTGCTGGAGAGGAAAATTTTGAATTAAATTAAAAATGTATAATAAGCAGGGGAAGAGAAAGGAGCCCTTATAGAAACTAAAACTGTCTTAACTAGAATGTTGGGTCTAACCTTAGATACTTTTGAAACAGGAACAACAAGGAATAAAGACTTGCAGGATTTAAAGCAGGAACGGTAGTTTTATTTAAGTCCCAACCAGTGAGAGAACAGATAGAGAGAAAACTTAAATAGATCAGATATGGTTACTAACATTAAGGAGGTTCATGCTGTTGTAAGACCTGTCTATAAGAAACACTTTGAACTGGGCTGTTATCTGTCCTGTACATCACTGCAAGGTATCCTAATATGATTTTTTTGCCCTAATCTAAAAAATCTGTTTTTCTTAGCCTCAAGGTTCAAGATTGCATTACCCTTTAGGCGGTGTTAAACTCTGCAAGATGTTTACATTTTCTGAAGAAATAAAGAGGTGGACCTTAACAGACTGGATAGGCTGCTAATGTGGGCAATTTTCACAGTATCATGGCTTTAACCAGTCTTGCTGTTTAAAAAGTTCAGTGCCAAATATACTGAACAGCTGGCACTGTTGGACAGATACACAACAGCATCTCTTGTCTGAGTTATAACTTCTTCAGCTTATTCTCCGTTGTAGTGGATTATTTCTAGACTTCATCACTGACTGATGGGGAAGAGATGTCTGAGCCTGTCAGGAAGCACATTTGAAGGACGTGCATAAAGCAAAGGGCAAAATGCGCATATAGCACTTAGTAATATTTAGCTTAACTCTTTTGTTAATGAGTAATTTGGAAGCAAGCAAAAAAAGAAAAACGCCTCTACCACAGGTTTTGCTTTACATTGTTCTCTCCTGGGGTTTGTAAAGCTAGACTAAAACAAACGAACATTAAATACGTGACACTGGGCCTGGCTGCAGGAGCTGTGTCGTGGGCTGGTGTTTTAGGAGCGCGCTGTCAGAGCATGTGACTTGAATCTGTTTGCTCCTCTCCGCAGCAGAGCGTCTGTGTCTGTTCCTGCGAGGTCAGGCAGCTCAGCTGAAGCCCACGGGCCAAGCTGTTGGGGCTGATGTGCCAGACTTGGCTCTGAAATAGCTCATGGTTGTTCACAACCTCGCTTTCACCTGCTCTGTTGTGCTCTGAAGATCTCTGATGCAGAGCTGTAACATCTTGAAATAGCTACAACGGCTTGCAAAGCATGAGTGCTTTCTGAACACTAGGATTTAATTTTAGTTATTTTTGTATTGAATATTCCATCACCTCACAAGTGAAGCATTGTGTTTGAAAAGATTTCTACAATCTGGAATTTGTTAGTTTTGTAAGTATTCTCCACTTGGAAATTCTAACAGAGAGACAAATACTTCAAGCATTGCCATGCAGTTAGAGGTGGTAGATGGCCACACTAGTCCTACGTTTGTGGATTACCCCGGGGATGTCATCAT